CGGCTTCGACTGATACTCTTTGTGAGCATGTGGTATATACCTGTGAGGAAATGTTCACGTCTTCTCCCTTCTTCGTTGTAGGTGTCGGAGAAGGTGGTGAGGGAGCGACAGAGGAGTCGGCTGGTCACGGTGAAGGCAAGGAAGAGACGTCAGGTGAGTGTCGGCTTCCATTCTGCTCGTCGAATGTTGCACTGTGTGAGTTGGTTTGTGCGCGTTCCAGTTAGTGTGCGAGAGTGTGTGCATTTGATGTTGATTTGGTCAGGGCGAGTGTTTGACTGAAACGTGGACGTGTCTGTCTGTGTGTGAATCTGTTTTTCTGTGTGTGTGTGTGTCTGTGTCTGTGTGTCTGTGTCTGTGTGATATGCGTGCATGTTCGAGTGAGATTGTTGAGTGGATGTGAGTGAATTGTGTCTGGTTTGAAGAGGTTCGATGAGATGTCGATGTGTATGTGTATGTGTATGTGAATGTGTTGGTGAATGTGTATGTGTATGTTGATGCGTGTGTGTATTTGTACTGGATGTGGATGTGGAGGGCGATACGGAGGTCTATTTTGATGTTGAAGGCGATGTGATTAATGTGAAGGACGGCGTGACCATCGTCTTCCTTCGTATTTGCAGGCGGCTTCGACTGATACTCTTTGTGAGCATGTGGTATATACCTGTGAGGAAATGTTCACGTCTTCTCCCTTCTTCGTTGTAGGTGTCGGAGAAGGTGGTGAGGGAGCGACAGAGGAGTCGGCTGGTCACGGTGAAGGCAAGGAAGAGACGTCAGGTGAGTGTCGGCTTCCATTCTGCTCGTCGAATGTTGCACTGTGTGAGTTGGTTTGTGCGCGTTCCAGTTAGTGTGCGAGAGTGTGTGCATTTGATGTTGATTTGGTCAGGGCGAGTGTTTGACTGAAACGTGGACGTGTCTGTCTGTGTGTGAATCTGTTTTTCTGTGTGTGTGTGTGTGTCTGTGTGTCTGTGTCTGTGTGATATGCGTGCATGTTCGAGTGAGATTGTTGAGTGGATGTGAGTGAATTGTGTCTGGTTTGAAGAGGTTCGATGAGATGTCGACGTGTATGTGTATGTGTATGTGAATGTGTTGGTGAATGTGTATGTGTATGTTGATGCGTGTGTGTATTTGTACTGGATGTGGATGTGGAGGGCGATACGGAGGTCTATTTTGATGTTGAAGGCGATGTGATTAATGTGAAGGACGGCGTGACCATCGTCTTCCTTCGTATTTGCAGGCGGCTTCGACTGATACTCTTTGTGAGCATGTGGTATATACCTGTGAGGAAATGTTCACGTCTTCTCCCTTCTTCGTTGTAGGTGTCGGAGAAGGTGGTGAGGGAGCGACAGAGGAGTCGGCTGGTCACGGTGAAGGCAAGGAAGAGACGTCAGGTGAGTGTCGGCTTCCATTCTGCTCGTCGAATGTTGCACTGTGTGAGTTGGTTTGTGCGCGTTCCAGTTAGTGTGCGAGAGTGTGTGCATTTGATGTTGATTTGGTCAGGGCGAGTGTTTGACTGAAACGTGGACGTGTCTGTCTGTGTGTGAATCTGTTTTTCTGTGTGTGTGTGTGTCTGTGTCTGTGTCTGTGTGATATGCGTGCATGTTCGAGTGAGATTGATGAGTGGATGTGAGTGAATTGTGTCTGGTTTGAAGAGGTTCGATGAGATGTCGATGTGTATGTGTACGTGTATGTGAATGTGTTGGTGAATGTGTATGTGTATGTTGATGCGTGTGTGTATTTGTACTGGATGTGGATGTGGAGGGCGATACGGAGGTCTATTTTGATGTTGAAGGCGATGTGATTAATGTGAAGGACGGCGTGACCATCGTCTTCCTTCGTATTTGCAGGCGGCTTCGACTGATACTCTTTGTGAGCATGTGGTATATACCTGTGAGGAAATGTTCACGTCTTCTCCCTTCTTCGTTGTAGGTGTCGGAGAAGGTGGTGAGGGAGCGACAGAGGAGTCGGCTGGTCACGGTGAAGGCAAGGAAGAGACGTCAGGTGAGTGTCGGCTTCCATTCTGCTCGTCGAATGTTGCACTGTGTGAGTTGGTTTGTGCGCGTTCCAGTTAGTGTGCGAGAGTGTGTGCATTTGATGTTGATTTGGTCAGGGCGAGTGTTTGACTGAAACGTGGACGTGTCTGTCTGTGTGTGAATCTAATTTTCTGTGTGTGTGTGTGTCTGTGTCTGTGTGTCTGTGTCTGTGTGATATGCGTGCATGTTCGAGTGAGATTGATGAGTGGATGTGAGTGAATTGTGTCTGGTTTGAAGAGGTTCGATGAGATGTCGATGTGTATGTGTATGTGTATGTGAATGTGTTGGTGAATGTGTATGTGTATGTTGATGCGTGTGTGTATTTGTACTGGATGTGGATGTGGAGGGCGATACGGAGGTCTATTTTGATGTTGAAGGCGATGTGATTAATGTGAAGGACGGCGTGACCATCGTCTTCCTTCGTATTTGCAGGCGGCTTCGACTGATACTCTTTGTGAGCATGTGGTATATACCTGTGAGGAAATGTTCACGTCTTCTCCCTTCTTCGTTGTAGGTGTCGGAGAAGGTGGTGAGGGAGCGACAGAGGAGTCGGCTGGTCACGGTGAAGGCAAGGAAGAGACGTCAGGTGAGTGTCGGCTTCCATTCTGCTCGTCGAATGTTGCACTGTGTGAGTTGGTTTGTGCACGTTCCAGTTAGTGTGCGAGAGTGTGTGCATTTGATGTTGATTTGGTCAGGGCGAGTGTTTGACTGAAACGTGGACGTGTCTGTCTGTGTGTGAATCTGTTTTTCTGTGTGTGTGTGTGTCTGTGTGTCTGTGTCTGTGTGATATGCGTGCATGTTCGAGTGAGATTGTTGAGTGGATGTGAGTGAATTGTGTCTGGTTTGAAGAGGTTCGATGAGATGTCGACGTGTATGTGTATGTGTATGTGAATGTGTTGGTGAATGTGTATGTGTATGTTGATGCGTGTGTGTATTTGTACTGGATGTGGATGTGGAGGGCGATACGGAGGTCTATTTTGATGTTGAAGGCGATGTGATTAATGTGAAGGACGGCGTGACCATCGTCTTCCTTCGTATTTGCAGGCGGCTTCGACTGATACTCTTTGTGAGCATGTGGTATATACCTGTGAGGAAATGTTCACGTCTTCTCCCTTCTTCGTTGTAGGTGTCGGAGAAGGTGGTGAGGGAGCGACAGAGGAGTCGGCTGGTCACGGTGAAGGCAAGGAAGAGACGTCAGGTGAGTGTCGGCTTCCATTCTGCTCGTCGAATGTTGCACTGTGTGAGTTGGTTTGTGCGCGTTCCAGTTAGTGTGCGAGAGTGTGTGCATTTGATGTTGATTTGGTCAGGGCGAGTGTTTGACTGAAACGTGGACGTGTCTGTCTGTGTGTGAATCTAATTTTCTGTGTGTGTGTGTCTGTGTCTGTGTGTCTGTGTCTGTGTGATATGCGTGCATGTTCGAGTGAGATTGTTGAGTGGATGTGAGTGAATTGTGTCTGGTTTGAAGAGGTTCGATGAGATGTCGATGTGTATGTGTATGTGTATGTGAATGTGTTGGTGAATGTGTATGTGTATGTTGATGCGTGTGTGTATTTGTACTGGATGTGGATGTGGAGGGCGATACGGAGGTCTATTTTGATGTTGAAGGCGATGTGATTAATGTGAAGGACGGCGTGACCATCGTCTTCCTTCGTATTTGCAGGCGGCTTCGACTGATACTCTTTGTGAGCATGTGGTATATACCTGTGAGGAAATGTTCACGTCTTCTCCCTTCTTCGTTGTAGGTGTCGGAGAAGGTGGTGAGGGAGCGACAGAGGAGTCGGCTGGTCACGGTGAAGGCAAGGAAGAGACGTCAGGTGAGTGTCGGCTTCCATTCTGCTCGTCGAATGTTGCACTGTGTGAGTTGGTTTGTGCGCGTTCCAGTTAGTGTGCGAGAGTGTGTGCATTTGATGTTGATTTGGTCAGGGCGAGTGTTTGACTGAAACGTGGACGTGTCTGTCTGTGTGTGAATCTAATTTTCTGTGTGTGTGTGTGTCTGTGTCTGTGTGTCTGTGTCTGTGTGATATGCGTGCATGTTCGAGTGAGATTGATGAGTGGATGTGAGTGAATTGTGTCTGGTTTGAAGAGGTTCGATGAGATGTCGATGTGTATGTGTACGTGTATGTGAATGTGTTGGTGAATGTGTATGTGTATGTTGATGCGTGTGTGTATTTGTACTGGATGTGGATGTGGAGGGCGATACGGAGGTCTATTTTGATGTTGAAGGCGATGTGATTAATGTGAAGGACGGCGTGACCATCGTCTTCCTTCGTATTTGCAGGCGGCTTCGACTGATACTCTTTGTGAGCATGTGGTATATACCTGTGAGGAAATGTTCACGTCTTCTCCCTTCTTCGTTGTAGGTGTCGGAGAAGGTGGTGAGGGAGCGACAGAGGAGTCGGCTGGTCACGGTGAAGGCAAGGAAGAGACGTCAGGTGAGTGTCGGCTTCCATTCTGCTCGTCGAATGTTGCACTGTGTGAGTTGGTTTGTGCGCGTTCCAGTTAGTGTGCGAGAGTGTGTGCATTTGATGTTGATTTGGTCAGGGCGAGTGTTTGACTGAAACGTGGACGTGTCTGTCTGTGTGTGAATCTGTTTTTTCTGTGTGTGTGTGTGTCTGTGTGTCTGTGTCTGTGTGATATGCGTGCATGTTCGAGTGAGATTGTTGAGTGGATGTGAGTGAATTGTGTCTGGTTTGAAGAGGTTCGATGAGATGTCGATGTGTATGTGTATGTGTATGTGAATGTGTTGGTGAATGTGTATGTGTATGTTGATGCGTGTGTGTATTTGTACTGGATGTGGATGTGGAGGGCGATACGGAGGTCTATTTTGATGTTGAAGGCGATGTGATTAATGTGAAGGACGGCGTGACCATCGTCTTCCTTCGTATTTGCAGGCGGCTTCGACTGATACTCTTTGTGAGCATGTGGTATATACCTGTGAGGAAATGTTCACGTCTTCTCCCTTCTTCGTTGTAGGTGTCGGAGAAGGTGGTGAGGGAGCGACAGAGGAGTCGGCTGGTCACGGTGAAGGCAAGGAAGAGACGTCAGGTGAGTGTCGGCTTCCATTCTGCTCGTCGAATGTTGCACTGTGTGAGTTGGTTTGTGCGCGTTCCAGTTAGTGTGCGAGAGTGTGTGCATTTGATGTTGATTTGGTCAGGGCGAGTGTTTGACTGAAACGTGGACGTGTCTGTCTGTGTGTGAATCTGTTTTTCTGTGTGTGTGTGTCTGTGTCTGTGTCTGTGTCTGTGTGATATGCGTGCATGTTCGAGTGAGATTGTTGAGTGGATGTGAGTGAATTGTGTCTGGTTTGAAGAGGTTCGATGAGATGTCGATGTGTATGTGTACGTGTATGTGAATGTGTTGGTGAATGTGTATGTGTATGTTGATGCGTGTGTGTATTTGTACTGGATGTGGATGTGGAGGGCGATACGGAGGTCTATTTTGATGTTGAAGGCGATGTGATTAATGTGAAGGACGGCGTGACCATCGTCTTCCTTCGTATTTGCAGGCGGCTTCGACTGATACTCTTTGTGAGCATGTGGTATATACCTGTGAGGAAATGTTCACGTCTTCTCCCTTCTTCGTTGTAGGTGTCGGAGAAGGTGGTGAGGGAGCGACAGAGGAGTCGGCTGGTCACGGTGAAGGCAAGGAAGAGACGTCAGGTGAGTGTCGGCTTCCATTCTGCTCGTCGAATGTTGCACTGTGTGAGTTGGTTTGTGCGCGTTCCAGTTAGTGTGCGAGAGTGTGTGCATTTGATGTTGATTTGGTCAGGGCGAGTGTTTGACTGAAACGTGGACGTGTCTGTCTGTGTGTGAATCTAATTTTCTGTGTGTGTGTGTGTCTGTGTCTGTGTGTCTGTGTCTGTGTGATATGCGTGCATGTTCGAGTGAGATTGATGAG